AGGACGTACTTTTCCTTTGTTTAAGGGTATTTGGGCAGTTTATTCTCTGTTGTATTCTCAAGCAAACAATACATACAAGTACAGTACAATATTTTCTGAGGAAACACGCATACTTATCCTTTTTTAACCCCATTCCCGATAACCCGGCATTTTCACAAACTCGGCCACCCTTCGGTCCACATTAGGCTGAGTTTTCGAGGCTCTACTGTACCTTAACAGAAGAAATTTGATATGATGTATTTTATTGAAAATCTTTATTATGTAACAAAATTAATCATCAATATATTCATATATACATTTAAATAGAAATGTGAAGTTAATATTTTTCATTTTAGATTAAGTTTTTGTACTCAGTTGTAACTGGGACTAATTTTAGTTTAGAATGTTTCAATAATTGTCTAAAAGTAACTTTTTCAAATTCAAATGAAAAATAAATTAAATAATCTGATTGTTTTGATTAATTTTTAAATATTTTATACAAATCTTTTAAAGCAAAATATTTTTATAATAATTTATAATATAAATAAAATAAATATCTGTTTAAATTAAAATAAAAATTTAAGTCAATATAAATATAAAATCATTTGTGGTCCCATCAAAATTCAGAAAATTGCACGATTTATTATCATCCTTGCCTAACTGTATACATTCTTCATAAGTAAGACTTTTGCTTTTGTAAAAATTTACATTGTTTTTAGAAATTAAAGTTTAAATGGGGACAACTTCCAATATAAAAAGGATGGGAATGGCACTTTGTTAAGTTTTAAACGTTCATCGACAGAAAAAATAAAAGTTCAAACAAAATGTTTTAATTTGTATTCTGCAGATCATATTTTCTTTCTTTTATTCTAATCCAAGAGTGTAATTGATGAATTGCACACATACTATGATCAACGGCTGCCATGCAACGAGATATCGGACAAAATCTAAGAAACTACCATAAAATACATGTGGTTTTTCCCATCTTTAATAATATGTAAAGGAAAATATTAATTTTTCTGTCAAATTAAAAAAATATATATATAAAATCAATACCAAAAATAAATATATATCTTAAATTTTTAAGTTAAAATTTCTGTAAGTGTATAAAACTCTATATACATAAGTTTAATAAGAAAGGATACGGATTGCAAAACATCCTCTTCAAATCTACCTTCTCTTTGCAATATGGACATGTTTGCTTCTTTCCTACAATGCACCATCCTCGAATGCAAAATTCATGAAAGCTGTTCATTGTTTAAAGTAAATAACACAAGATTGAAAAATAGAAAAATTTAAATCAATATCTGTGTAAAGGATACGTATGACCACAGGCAAGTTTAAATGTTTTTTCGACAATTGCTTCGGAGTTATCTTGAATCAATATCTTATTTCCACACACTGCACAAATGTGGGGTTCTAACTGCCGTACTGGAACTCCTGTTGTTGTGTAATACTGCAGAATGAAAATTGTGCATATTTCTTCTTCATTGGATTTTTAAAAACAATTTTCAAATTCAATGTTTGAAATTAAAAGCAATCTAAGGAAAAAATACTTTCCTTAACAGTAAATATGAATTATTATTATTGTTTTGGCTAAAACTGATATTATTAATAATCCAATGAAAAGAAATGGGAATCCTTACTTAAAAAATAAAAATCAACTGATTATAAGAATTCATATATTAGTCTCTATTACTTTATTTTCATGTAAGAGTTTTTGAATATATTATACTATTGAAATAATTATATTTATTAAAAAGTGCTTAACTAAACTTTACCCCAATAGTTGCAGCCATTTTATCTGTAATGATCTCTGCTACATCTCTTCCCAAAACACCATAATATAGACCATAGAACAATGTCATCAAACCTAAATCAAACCAGGGTTGGGCTTTTGATTTGAAAATGAGGTTCACACCCAACAATGTTAACATCATCACAATATAGCCAATTATTCCTAGTCCATAGCTTAACATATATATCAAATAAAACCATTTGTACACAAGTCTGTAAATATAAATTAATTATTAAAGTTTTTTCAAGTATTAGCAAATTAAAGAATTTGATGATAAAATAATTCAAGTATTATTTTTACATACCGTGGAGTTGTACCTGATATTGGTTTTTGGAGAGCTTTACTCATAACAATACCAGTAAGTATAGTAACAACAAACCAGATTATAATAAATCGCCACCATCCATGATGTATAGAGACTATAATGGGTATTATCCACATTCCTAGAAGCGAAACTCTCTATTTAAGAGAAATATACCAAACTTTACTAACTTAAATAATTAAGATATAATGTTTAAATTTATTTTTTAGATTTATAATTTAAACATTATTTTTACTAGATAAATACATTGCAAGAATTATTCACAACATTTGTGATATTAAAATAAATTTAAAACTTTAAAAATAAAAAAATCATTTTATTTCAATTTTTTGTTAAAATAAACAGTTATATTATATTATTAAATTATATTATTATATTTAATTTGATATTTTAAATAAGAAAAATATGTTACATATAGTAATATACCTAACACACTTTTAGTGCCAAAACTTTATGCTAATTTACTTTTAATCCTTTTAATTTATTCTAGTCAGAGCTGTATTATTATCAAATTACATGGACACTTTGAACTATGTTGTTTTGTATACACAAATTTCAAATACACCCTCATAAACACTACAACTACCAAAATTTCACAGCAAATGCATCAATTTGTTTTCTCCCCTAGAAATACCTTGCATGATATATTGTTGACTCATTTTGAGACAAAATGTAGTTCAAAACTTCTTTGTAATTATATTGTATGAGGAAAATCAAAATGGATGGGACAAAGATACACACTTGTAAAATTAATTCAAATTAGTAACATACAGAAATCTCAATTACTAAGTCTGTTTTAGGTTTCATATGTTGAGAAATATAAATATACAATCATATAAACTTTTAGGGATGAATTAAGTGTGAAAACTCAGGTTTAAAATTTAATTCGTCTCTAAAAGTTGTTCAAAAACCAGTTTGTTCTAAAACCAACATAAATTTTCCCATAAGAAACAATATACAATGTATTAATATTAATCCATTCAACCCCCAAACAAAATCTTTTTTTTTTTTACCTTTTTAGATTAATTTATGCTTAAAAATGCCTATAAAGGCAATACTATATATAACATATTATCTATATTACCATTTCACAAACTAGTGCTATAGAGACTCAACTCTGACTGCCTGGATGAAATTTAACCAAATCAATCAAGACTGACAAGTACTTTATCCACACTTTCCAAAATATAATGTTTCAATTGATTTGATTTCAATTTTAATTTAAACTAAAATTAATTAATTAATTGATTTTATTTTCAGTTTCAGTATAAAGGCCAGTTTTATTATTATTTTTAGTTTTAATTAACTGGCTACCTAGTTTTAATGAATATTAAATATTATTATTATAATATATACTATTATATTATTAAACTTTTGTCACTTAATTTAATTTAAGCATATTTAAACATTAATTCATGAATGCCATTTATTTTATGTGAATCTCAATTAATGCAGTTTTTATTAATTCATTTGGTTTGAATTAAACTATGGCACATACTGAAAAACAGAAACAGTATCTTTCCTGCAAGCACATTGAAATATAATTTAAATAGCAATATCATTGGTGATTTGTATTGTGACACAAAGCAATCTCAGCACCACTAACTTCTGAATTGATAGTCCTGTTATTGATTGGTTGGGCCATTGACATTCTTTAACATAGGCAGTATAGGAAGTTGATCATCGATATCTAGTTCTGTTGAGTAGCTTGTTCAGCAATTGGGGCAAAAATGAATTCAAAATTTTATTCGTAAACCAAATTGTTCTATAAGAAAGGTGTTTGACACCCAAGATTTGACTGTCTAAACTTTTTTCTTAAATACAAAATGCCATACTGATAGGTAAATTTTTACTTTATCAAAAGCTATTTTCAAAATGATTAGAAAACAAATATTTCTCTGAAAGAATATTTTTTGTTAACACCATATACAAAATTCCTGTAGGTGTTATTCTGTTGAATTATAGTTCCAGTGTATAGTACATGTGAGTTTTTGCTTTTTGAAAATTCCTGTAATTGTTATCTACAATTAATATATAACCTGTAGTTTAAATAAAATGTAAACATAATTAAAATTAATCTGTAATATTTATAATGTCATTAATTACAAATAGAACCTTTCCTTAAAAATTTTTTTATATAAAATACTTTTTACAGATTTAATTGACTTATTTTCAACTGTAATATTTTACCAGCTAACTTATTTGTCAAAATTAACTCAAAAATAAAAGCCTCAGTGGCTCCCCTTTGGAGTAATTCTTACACTGTATGATTTTAATTTAATTCTCTAACAGTAGATGGTGTAACTTAACAATTTTCATGTTTAACTAACTAATTTTAAAAATTTTAATTTCTAAAAGGCAATAACTGGTACAGTGTCAATTACTGGTGTAGTTACCCTACATATCCGGAGACTTTTTAAGAAAACTAAGGAGTAAATATTCAAAATTGAGTTTAAAAAACCAGAATTGATGTAAAAAACTAAAAATCCAATATACTGTACTCTAATAAGTGTAAAAAACAATTTTAAATCAAAAGAAATTCTAGTCACAGTCTGAGGCAGATAAAAATGGTAATGGTGTTCAGTATTGCATAAATAACACATACATACCACAAATATTCAAACTGCTCTAGCAAAAAACTAATCATTTTCAAGATTTGTGTCCATGTAGAATTTTGATAGTTTGTCAAGAACTATAACATACTAATTTTCAGCCAATTTAACTAATTATGTATTTTGTATTAAAGAGCTGATGCATAAGGATTATGCAGGACACTTTAATACAAAATAGTGGCTTAACTGCCTACTTTTAGTCCAAATTACTTAATTATAATTAATTAGCCATATTATGGTTCAATTAAAAATTCATTAGAATTGTTTCACTGCTGTTTGGAGAAATTTGAGTTAGAGATATTTTAATCAATTTTAATACAACTTTATAATATATCTTGATGTGGCCTAAATTTAGCTAATTTTTCCAGACTTATCACATCTTGTAAGTCAAGTGATGAAAATGGAGTCAGAGATCAGATCCAAAAAATATATTGATTCACTTTTATTAACTTTATAATCATTTTTGCTAATCTTATAATGCTTGGTAATGTTGAATGATTTAAGATGATTTGTAACCTGAAAACAATTTTAGGAATAGCTGAAAATATAAGTTTTGTTAAATATTCTACTGGATTATTATATTTTATTAATGCAATTGTAAATTTTACTATAATTTATTACTCAANTGCAAAATCCTCCCCACATTTAAATATAAACTGTTTTAAAATATTTCAGAAAGAAATAATACTAACCAAATTTGATTTGTTATTTAATAAAAGTAAATTTTGGACAATAATGTGAAAGATTGGATTGGGCTACTTCATTTTTGTTTTTATGTTAACAAAAAAAAAAAAAATGTAAAACAAACATTTAATATGTCTCAGTTTAAACATTGCTGTATTTTCGTCCTGGGTTATTAAAAGTGTTTTAAATAATTTCTCCAAATTACTATTTTGTTATGTAACATTACATTTAATAAAGCTCAAAGAAATGTAGGAAAAAAATTCAAATGAATATAAAAACAAATTAACTGAAACATATGCTGAAAATGTTGATTATATTTAAGCAGGGCAGCATATAGCATTATAAAAAATACTGTTATTTCAAAATTGATTGATAAGAAAGTCTTAATAGAAATATATGCATCTCTTCCTTAAACACAACCCTATAATTGGATTAGCTTCTATATAAGATGCTAATCCAATTATATATTTTCTAATAAAGTATAGTTTGCACAATAAGAATAATGCTATTAAATGTGCTAAGTCACAAAATCAAAACACTACTTCGTATTAATAAAAGAAAACAGCAAACTTTCTTATATCAAAAAGAAATAAACTAATTTTTTCCTAACAAAAATAGTTAATCTTACAGGCAAGACGAGTTTCATTTTTGTTGGCATATTTGGAAAGGAAAATATTTAAGGTTTCATACTGATGATGTATATAGAGCTTTAATTTTGAATTATAATTTTATTTAAATAATAATAATTTATTAATAAATGAGGAGAATATTTTGTTCTCATTATATTTCTGTATGTTTTTAGAACTAATTTACAACTTTATTCTCTATTTTAAATGACATTTATCATTAAAATCATCTTTTGCAAGTGCAGGGACAAATCCAAATGAAAGGCAATTGTCTATAAGGTTTTTATTTCTAACAGGAGCTTCATTACTTCCTGAAAATAATGCTTTTCTTTTAATATTTTTATCACTACTTTTCACTTTTATTATATATTTATGTTGTTTAATTTATATAGTTTATTTTAAGCAATTATTATAAGTGATAAAACTATCTTATTTTGAGTTAGTCATCCTCCATAATTTGCTCTTGGATCACACACTGTACAAATATCACTGTCACTTTCAATAGAAATTTTAAAAGAAAGATAGAGAAATCAATAATTTATAAAAACATTAAATTAATATTTTCAATAAAAAATTACATTTTACTAAAATCATTCAAGTTGTATGCTTTCTCTAAGCTTCACCTTTTTAAGCATATCCAAAATTATAAATTCTTTCTCAATAAAAATATTAGAAATAACAGAGAAGTTAAAGTTTATTACAGTTTAAATGAGTATCCTGATCAATTCATCTAAAAGCATAATCTCCCAACTTTACTGAAACTTTTCTACTTTCTACTCCATGAAAACTTCAATTTTTAACTCTTTGAATTTGTCTTGTATGCTTCTTTCTGTATGCTTATATAATTATGTCATTTTAAAAAAATTACTTATCACTTCAATTTAATATTAATAAATTTATTTTTACTCATCTGCATTAAATTGAAAATTCATTAATTTACATAAGTTTATCACATTGTATATAAACTTTATCCATAAGTATCGATAAGTTGTTAACTGAATAAACAAATATGGAATCTCTCTCTCTCTCTTTTAAATATTTTAGATAGTGTTAAAAATATTAACATTTATTTTGTCATTTTTTTAAACATGGAATGGTTCAACAATATAGCATCTAATTATTTCATGTTGCCTTATAAATTTATCTTGATGGCTGACAAACTTTTGTCTTTGCTGCCCACCTCTAACTGATTCTGAACTCCTATCAGTATTTTAAAACTAATATCTGTTATTGATCTCGTAAGATAATAATTTGTTATGACTATGCATTCCTCTGGATGACAATCCTTATAAAAAAAAGGAGACATTTTTACAAATTATATATTTGTAAAAAGTAGAAGTTAAATTGTGTTACAAGAGCAAATGTAAGATTTACAAAAAGCATAAAATTTGATTTCTAGAAGACAATATATATATTCATTATCTTAGTCATTTTAAATCAGTTGTTAAAGTGGGTGGAGATAAAAATATTTGAATATTTTAATTAAATGTAAGTGAAATTTTTAAAATTTCTGAAAATAGGGCTTTAGTTATATTTATTTACTTTTATAAAGTCTTTGAAAGTAATTTTCAATTCTTTAATCATATTAATAAAATTAGAATTGTTACAAATTTTTATCTAATATTAAATTTTATAAAAATTTTCATTTAAATGATGTCATTCAGTGATATTACTGTCTTAAATTTACATTTAGTAAATTATGCTGATGAAGATTAAATAAGATTTGAATTTACCTCAAGGTTAATTTGATTAGATATAGAAAATGTTTAACACTTAAATAAACTAAACTGCTTGAATAAACTGATTTTTATTCTTATTAAAAAACAAAATATTTTTTCTAATGAAAACAGTTTCCTAAATTTATGATCTGATTCTGCATGATCAGTAACAAGAAACCATTTATATGTTTATTTATAAATTATTATTATTAATAATAAAAAAAAGAAAGCTTATTCATTTTTTATCTTGATCTTCATATTCATGATTAAATTATATCATATTGAAATCAACTGAAGTTCTGTTTCATATTTCACAATGAAAATTAATAAATTTAGATTCTGCAATTAAAAAATTTCTAATACAGTAGAGCCTCGAAAACTCGGCACTCGATAACCCAGCACTCCGGATAACTCGGCCACACCTTGGCTGGGCAAAAATATCCTTAGATAAATTAATTTTCATCATAGACAGCTTTATGCCTCATAAAGTATTTTTCTGAGGCCTGTCTTATCAAGTAAATTACTGTACACATTATTTAAGTAAATTATTGTATTCATTAATTTTCATTTTCATGTAGTAAAGGCTCTATGCCCTCATAAAGGACGTACTTTTCCTTTTTTAAGGGTATTTGGGCAGTTTATTCTCTGTTGTATTCTCAAGCAAACAATACATACAAGTACAGTACAATATTTTCTGAGGAAACACGCATACTTATCCTTTTTTAACCCCATTCCCGATAACCCGGCATTTTCACAAACTCGGCCACCCTTCGGTCCACATTAGGCTGAGTTTTCGAGGCTCTACTGTACCTTAACAGAAGAAATTTGATATGATGTATTTTATTGAAAATCTTTATTATGTAACAAAATTAATCATCAATATATTCATATATACATTTAAATAGAAATGTGAAGTTAATATTTTTCATTTTAGATTAAGTTTTTGTACTCAGTTGTAACTGGGACTAATTTTAGTTTAGAATGTTTCAATAATTGTCTAAAAGTAACTTTTTCAAATTCAAATGAAAAATAAATTAAATAATCTGATTGTTTTGATTAATTTTTAAATATTTTATACAAATCTTTTAAAGCAAAATATTTTTATAATAATTTATAATATAAATAAAATAAATATCTGTTTAAATTAAAATAAAAATTTAAGTCAATATAAATATAAAATCATTTGTGGTCCCATCAAAATTCAGAAAATTGCACGATTTATTATCATCCTTGCCTAACTGTATACATTCTTCATAAGTAAGACTTTTGCTTTTGTAAAAATTTACATTGTTTTTAGAAATTAAAGTTTAAATGGGGACAACTTCCAATATAAAAAGGATGGGAATGGCACTTTGTTAAGTTTTAAACGTTCATCGACAGAAAAAATAAAAGTTCAAACAAAATGTTTTAATTTGTATTCTGCAGATCATATTTTCTTTCTTTTATTCTAATCCAAGAGTGTAATTGATGAATTGCACACATACTATGATCAACGGCTGCCATGCAACGAGATATCGGACAAAATCTAAGAAACTACCATAAAATACATGTGGTTTTTCCCATCTTTAATAATATGTAAAGGAAAATATTAATTTTTCTGTCAAATTAAAAAAATATATATATAAAATCAATACCAAAAATAAATATATATCTTAAATTTTTAAGTTAAAATTTCTGTAAGTGTATAAAACTCTATATACATAAGTTTAATAAGAAAGGATACGGATTGCAAAACATCCTCTTCAAATCTACCTTCTCTTTGCAATATGGACATGTTTGCTTCTTTCCTACAATGCACCATCCTCGAATGCAAAATTCATGAAAGCTGTTCATTGTTTAAAGTAAATAACACAAGATTGAAAAATAGAAAAATTTAAATCAATATCTGTGTAAAGGATACGTATGACCACAGGCAAGTTTAAATGTTTTTTCGACAATTGCTTCGGAGTTATCTTGAATCAATATCTTATTTCCACACACTGCACAAATGTGGGGTTCTAACTGCCGTACTGGAACTCCTGTTGTTGTGTAATACTGCAGAATGAAAATTTTGCATATTTCTTCTTCATTGGATTTTTAAAAACAATTTTCAAATTCAATGTTTGAAATTAAAAGCAATCTAAGGAAAAAATACTTTCCTTAACAGTAAATATGAATTATTATTATTGTTTTGGCTAAAACTGATATTATTAATAATCCAATGAAAAGAAATGGGAATCCTTACTTAAAAAATAAAAATCAACTGATTATAAGAATTCATATATTAGTCTCTATTACTTTATTTTCATGTAAGAGTTTTTGAATATATTATACTATTGAAATAATTATATTTATTAAAAAGTGCTTAACTAAACTTTACCCCAATAGTTGCAGCCATTTTATCTGTAATGATCTCTGCTACATCTCTTCCCAAAACACCATAATATAGACCATAGAACAATGTCATCAAACCTAAATCAAACCAGGGTTGGGCTTTTGATTTGAAAATGAGGTTCACACCCAACAATGTTAACATCATCACAATATAGCCAATTATTCCTAGTCCATAGCTTAACATATATATCAAATAAAACCATTTGTACACAAGTCTGTAAATATAAATTAATTATTAAAGTTTTTTCAAGTATTAGCAAATTAAAGAATTTGATGATAAAATAATTCAAGTATTATTTTTACATACCGTGGAGTTGTACCTGATATTGGTTTTTGGAGAGCTTTACTCATAACAATACCAGTAAGTATAGTAACAACAAACCAGATTATAATAAATCGCCACCATCCATGATGTATAGAGACTATAATGGGTATTATCCACATTCCTAGAAGCGAAACTCTCTATTTAAGAGAAATATACCAAACTTTACTAACTTAAATAATTAAGATATAATGTTTAAATTTATTTTTTAGATTTATAATTTAAACATTATTTTTACTAGATAAATACATTGCAAGAATTATTCACAACATTTGTGATATTAAAATAAATTTAAAACTTTAAAAATAAAAAAATCATTTTATTTCAATTTTTTGTTAAAATAAACAGTTATATTATATTATTAAATTATATTATTATATTTAATTTGATATTTTAAATAAGAAAAATATGTTACATATAGTAATATACCTAACACACTTTTAGTGCCAAAACTTTATGCTAATTTACTTTTAATCCTTTTAATTTATTCTAGTCAGAGCTGTATTATTATCAAATTACATGGACACTTTGAACTATGTTGTTTTGTATACACAAATTTCAAATACACCCTCATAAACACTACAACTACCAAAATTTCACAGCAAATGCATCAATTTGTTTTCTCCCCTAGAAATACCTTGCATGATATATTGTTGACTCATTTTGAGACAAAATGTAGTTCAAAACTTCTTTGTAATTATATTGTATGAGGAAAATCAAAATGGATGGGACAAAGATACACACTTGTAAAATTAATTCAAATTAGTAACATACAGAAATCTCAATTACTAAGTCTGTTTTAGGTTTCATATGTTGAGAAATATAAATATACAATCATATAAACTTTTAGGGATGAATTAAGTGTGAAAACTCAGGTTTAAAATTTAATTCGTCTCTAAAAGTTGTTCAAAAACCAGTTTGTTCTAAAACCAACATAAATTTTCCCATAAGAAACAATATACAATGTATTAATATTAATCCATTCAACCCCCAAACAAAATCTTTTTTTTTTTTACCTTTTTAGATTAATTTATGCTTAAAAATGCCTATAAAGGCAATACTATATATAACATATTATCTATATTACCATTTCACAAACTAGTGCTATAGAGACTCAACTCTGACTGCCTGGATGAAATTTAACCAAATCAATCAAGACTGACAAGTACTTTATCCACACTTTCCAAAATATAATGTTTCAATTGATTTGATTTCAATTTTAATTTAAACTAAAATTAATTAATTAATTGATTTTATTTTCAGTTTCAGTATAAAGGCCAGTTTTATTATTATTTTTAGTTTTAATTAACTGGCTACCTAGTTTTAATGAATATTAAATATTATTATTATAATATATACTATTATATTATTAAACTTTTGTCACTTAATTTAATTTAAGCATATTTAAACATTAATTCATGAATGCCATTTATTTTATGTGAATCTCAATTAATGCAGTTTTTATTAATTCATTTGGTTTGAATTAAACTATGGCACATACTGAAAAACAGAAACAGTATCTTTCCTGCAAGCACATTGAAATATAATTTAAATAGCAATATCATTGGTGATTTGTATTGTGACACAAAGCAATCTCAGCACCACTAACTTCTGAATTGATAGTCCTGTTATTGATTGGTTGGCCATTGACATTCTTTAACATAGGCAGTATAGGAAGTTGATCATCGATATCTAGTTCTGTTGAGTAGCTTGTTCAGCAATTGGGGCAAAAATGAATTCAAAATTTTATTCGTAAACCAAATTGTTCTATAAGAAAGGTGTTTGACACCCAAGATTTGACTGTCTAAACTTTTTTCTTAAATACAAAATGCCATACTGATAGGTAAATTTTTACTTTATCAAAAGCTATTTTCAAAATGATTAGAAAACAAATATTTCTCTGAAAGAATATTTTTTGTTAACACCATATACAAAATTCCTGTAGGTGTTATTCTGTTGAATTATAGTTCCAGTGTATAGTACATGTGAGTTTTTGCTTTTTGAAAATTCCTGTAATTGTTATCTACAATTAATATATAACCTGTAGTTTAAATAAAATGTAAACATAATTAAAATTAATCTGTAATATTTATAATGTCATTAATTACAAATAGAACCTTTCCTTAAAAATTTTTTTATATAAAATACTTTTTACAGATTTAATTGACTTATTTTCAACTGTAATATTTTACCAGCTAACTTATTTGTCAAAATTAACTCAAAAATAAAAGCCTCAGTGGCTCCCCTTTGGAGTAATTCTTACACTGTATGATTTTAATTTAATTCTCTAACAGTAGATGGTGTAACTTAACAATTTTCATGTTTAACTAACTAATTTTAAAAATTTTAATTTCTAAAAGGCAATAACTGGTACAGTGTCAATTACTGGTGTAGTTACCCTACATATCCGGAGACTTTTTAAGAAAACTAAGGAGTAAATATTCAAAATTGAGTTTAAAAAACCAGAATTGATGTAAAAAACTAAAAATCCAATATACTGTACTCTAATAAGTGTAAAAAACAATTTTAAATCAAAAGAAATTCTAGTCACAGTCTGAGGCAGATAAAAATGGTAATGGTGTTCAGTATTGCATAAATAACACATACACACCACAAATATTCAAACTGCTCTAGCAAAAAACTAATCATTTTCAAGATTTGTGTCCATGTAGAATTTTGATAGTTTGTCAAGAACTATAACATACTAATTTTCAGCCAATTTAACTAATTATGTATTTTGTATTAAAGAGCTGATGCATAAGGATTATGCAGGACACTTTAATACAAAATAGTGGCTTAACTGCCTACTTTTAGTCCAAATTACTTAATTATAATTAATTAGCCATATTATGGTTCAATTAAAAATTCATTAGAATTGTTTCACTGCTGTTTGGAGAAATTTGAGTTAGAGATATTTTAATCAATTTTAATACAACTTTATAATATATCTTGATGTGGCCTAAATTTAGCTAATTTTTCCAGACTTATCACATCTTGTAAGTCAAGTGATGAAAATGGAGTCAGAGATCAGATCCAAAAAATATATTGATTCACTTTTATTAACTTTATAATCATTTTTGCTAATCTTATAATGCTTGGTAATGTTGAATGATTTAAGATGATTTGTAACCTGAAAACAATTTTAGGAATAGCTGAAAATATAAGTTTTGTTAAATATTCTACTGGATTATTATATTTTATTAATGCAATTGTAAATTTTACTATAATTTATTACTCAAATTATGAAAACTATATTTAAAATTTAGTGATAAATATTTTTGAAATAAAGTAATATAGATAGATATTACTAAATATTTTTTATTAAAGCTTCCCTTAGAAAATCCAAAATCTGTTAAATAAAATACTGATTCTAAGTTTTTCTAATGTTCTCATACATAACACATGTAGAAAAAGTAGAATTAAAATAGCAAATAATTAAAAGTAATTTCTTAGTATTTTGAAACTGACATATTTTTACTTAAGACAAATCAATTATAATTTGTATATAATTGAGAATTTAATATAATATATTAGAAATCTTATATTTAAGTTTTATAAATTCTGATTAGATTTTTTTAAAATAAGAATAAAAATTCAAAAATGAAACAACCTTCAAAAGAATTTTTAAAAATACAGCATTATTACCACTATGATATGAGGTTATAAATAAACTCATTCATTACTATTTAATTTCATAACTCATCTTAAAACATAACTGTTTTTTTTTCATCAAACATTTAACTTTGAAAAACAATTCCATTAGTGTTGTAATCATTGTTTCAATGTAAATTGTTTTAACAGGATAAAGCACCCTTTAAAGTTTATACCTTAACTTTGACTAAATAAATAATTTAATCAAGCTTTGTCAAATGATTTTATTTAATTTTTTTATTTTTTAAATTTAATTAATCCAGCATCTAAAACTTGTACATTTTGAATATGATGACAAAAACATGCTAATGTAATAATTATAATATACCATTATTTTTCATCCTATAATCTTCTGTTCTAACATTCTACTATATATAATTTTCTATTGTAATTTTCAAAGTTTATTAGTGTATTGAAAATATATTATTTAATAAAAGTTATTACATTATTATTTATTAAAATTTGGAGGTAAACTACTTTATTACTATAGCAAAAACTTTTTTCAATACTTATTCATTTTACAACAGCTGGTATAGCTAATGTAGAACAACATTAACAATATGTGGTATGTTCCACATATTAACAATTCCACAGTTCCACATATTAACAATATGTGGAACCTCGAACCAGAAGAAAAACCAGCAAATACCGACCGAAAACCAAGGTGTAGTATATGAAATTCCGTGTACCTGCACAAACAAAAAACATTACATAGGAGAAACAAAAAGAAAAGTAAAAACTAGATTGAAAGAACACATAGCAGACCTAAAATACAATAGAATAAATTCTGCATTTTACAAACATTGTACTATAAACAACTGTAATATAGATAGAGATAACATAGAAATAATGCATAAAGAAAAATTAACATACAACAGGAAGTTTAAAGAAACCATAGAAATCATGAAAAGTAAAGACAGTATAAATAAAAACTTACGTCTTAAAATAAACGAAAACTGGCTTAATATATTATAAATAAAAATTTTTTTCTGTGAAAAAATTTTTTTCTTCTGTGAAAAGCAATTTCTCCTAGAAATAATTCTTCCAAGACAGATTTTAGTAAAAATCAAACCACAAGGTGGCAAATGTCATATGTAGCAACACTAGAGATACCAGTGCAAAAGACAAAAAGGGGGTGGAAGGTGAAAAAGGGGGCGGAAACAGCTAAAAATTTTTCAGTTGTATTGTATCAAAATCTACCTAAAAGGGAAGATTCTGGAAGATTTTAACCTTTTAATTTGTAATATATACTAGTTTATTTACAAAACATTAAAGCAGATTTTACATGTTTTTAAATTATACAAAGTGTAACCAAAAGGTACGTCTATATATCATTTATGTACTCATTGTTTTATGTAAATTCTCTATTGTAATAAGTTAAAAAAATATATATTGTATTTTAGTTGACTGAAGAGGGGCAAAGCCCGAAACGAGTACAAAACAATGTACCGTTACCGTATCGACTCAACTAATAAAGGAATTTGATGGAAAACTTGTCACGTGTCTTTGAAATAAAACACAATACTAGTGTTTACTATGCCACAATATGTCGTATGTTGCATATAAAAACATCACAAACACATGGCTTTACATTATAAAATGGTAAAACAAATTAACCAAATGATAAAACCAAATAATAATAAAAATGTACACAAGAAAAAATAAAAGATCTGTATTTTTTAGAAATGAAAAATTTAAAGACATAAGAAAAATATTAATTTCCTAATTTTAAAAACAGGAAGTATAATTTTGTTTCCATTTACTGCTCTGAGTTTACTCTTCCATTCCTTTATTATTTTTTTATTTACTAATATGGCATACTGTGCCATATTAATAAATAAAAAAATAATAAAGGATTTTTAAAGTGTACGAAGGAATTTTGTCCTTCGTACACTTTTTCCCTGCTTTTTGTTCTAATTAATAAGATTAGAAAGTTCTAGAAGGTGGAAAACCTTCTAGAACTTTCTAATCTTATTAATTATTCTTCCTTGGAGGTGAGGACCATTTCCTAGAATTCACTAATATTGTATGTGAGGTTACCTGAGGACATACGAAGCAAAGGAAGGTTACTTTTGGATTGGTGCTCGAAGAGAGAAGACCACAAAAGGAGAGAGATCTAACAATGTCTCGTAGCTGAGAGTCAAGTAAGGCTAGAACTTCAAGCAGGAACTTTGAAATTTCCGAGCCAAAGTTATTGTGTTAGAGCCAACATTTCAGCATGAAGAGTCCAAATGTGTAACTGACTCTGATGATAGAATATACAGGAAAACCCTCAAGGACTGAGGAAAGAAAGATAGAAGCAAGTATTTTGCATTTAAGAAGCACACAGTAACCAAAAGATCCAGGTATTCTTTCCTATACTATCCACCATCTTCACTACTACTAGCCCCCTATTTTCAATTTTCTTTTTATTAGAGTAAGTGTAGTATTAAGGGTTAGTCTTAGGAAAATTATTATTGTAATAATTATTATTGTTTATTGCATTGAATTATTGTGATTGCGATTCGGTATGACATGGCCATTTTATTTTTGTAATTTTTTCACTGACAATTGGGTTTAAGGTTACTGTTGGAGTAACCATCCTAGAATTGGCATCTTTTACTGAACCTATACATAGTTATGTCACATAAAAATAAATTGAGTTTTTAAAAATCTATTGCACATGTTCCTTTTTCTTAGAGGTTTGCCTTAGTGGCCTAACCAAAAATCTTTCATATCTCACACATATCATTTAATAATAATGAGAATTCGGACGCAAGTGTAAATTTTCATACTGAACTGCGTCACATCAAAGGTGACTTTCATCGTGCGAAGAAGGACTCCCCTCACACCAGGGGATCGTCCATGTCTAACGTAAATATAAGATGCAGGTAAGTAACCAATTAACGATGACAGGCCACTGTTACTGTGTGGAGGGTAACAAATAAGGTCACCTGCAAGGGTAGACCGTCCGGTGAGAAACTATATCATGTTACCGGAGATGGCCAGTCATCACCTCATGTGATGACAATTTTAATACTGACTGGTCAGTCGAGGTGACGTCGATGATCATAACTGCGTCACTGTGACAGGAGAGATGGTAATAAATCTGCAGAACTGTCAAAAATCAAGTAAACAGCATACCCAGCCAAGACAATTACGTTAGAAAAGTCCCAGATATTTCCCACGCTAACCATGTATAAAAAGGGGTTGGATTTGCACCTCTGGGCGGACTGCCAAAGAGGACCCCGTCAGGTAAACACCCTGAGCGGACTGCAGAAGAGGACCCCGCTGAAGTAACCCCTCTGAGCGGACAGCTGAAGATCTCTACAGTCAGAGAGCAACGGAGCGTACACCCTCTACGGACATAGCCAAGCGGACATCAAGGGACATCAGTTCTATACCGCCATACCGTCCATCGCTCCATATTGCCATCCAAGGAAACTTCAATTAGAAACTGCCGATCCCAGTGTGTCCTACCAACGCCCTATATAAAGTGATCGAGTCCTACGAGGTAAACCCTTGCCCAAATGTTGTCTCTCTCTCCTCAAAACGTCCCTCTTAAAGAGGTCTCTCTCGATCTTTAGTTTAGGTTAGAACATAGATATAGAATAGATTCCTTTTATTATTTGCGCGTGTGTTGTTTATGCTTTTTCGTTTGATATGTATAATCTCTTAATTGTTTATTAAATGTGTTAATATTGTTCAACCCGTGTAGTTATTTGGACACCTCATCACGACCTCACCCCACTCGATTTGCCCTCCTAAGCCATCCAACAAACCGAGAGCGGGTTTTACCAACTCGTGCAGAGTAAGTGGTCATTAGGGATCATCCCAGTGGCCCCCTGCTACCTCACAATAATTAATATAATTTAATGATAAATATTTCCATTTCAAAATATATTAAAAATGATATTAAATTATTGGAACAGGAAAGCCACATTGAGGCATTTTTTAGACATCTCTGTCAACATTTTAAAAAACATGAGATCCATACCAGCATATACTGGAAACCTATCTATCATTCTATTTTTGTTCTTTACATGTCTGTGCATCTCCATCGTGTAAAATTACCTTCTTTCAGATCATTAATAAAGAGGATCCTTTTACACATTGCATCAATATGCTTGACACCTTAGGGGTTGTCCATAGAATATGTCCACATATTTCTTGAAACTTTTACTCCCCCTCTCCCCATTGTCCCAGTTTCTCCAAGTTTCCATAACCCTCTCCCCCTTCAAACATCCAACAAAACTCAATTCCCCTTAAAACCTTTATCACTTTATGAGTGATAAAATGCATAAACTGTATAAATTTAATGACATTAAATGAATGTCTACTAAAGTTCAACCCCCCCTTCCCTTTCCACTGTGGGTGTCATTCATGGACAGCCCTTTATGTGAACAATTACGTCAGGAAGGTAGTGCTGCAACATGGTTATCTGACTAAGTTAATAAACAGCTTAATTAATACATTTTAAACATACAAGATGAATGAAAGATATCATGTGATAAAAAAAGGGTAACATTAATTAAGATATTTCCATGCCTTGCATAAGATACATAAGGAGATTGTGAACCACAACAATCTGAGCCTTGCTTTTAAACACAATCCCACTGTTTTCAAACTTTTACACAATGACAAAGATCCATAGGATCCTTCCAGTTTGTCTGGTATTTATTCTACACCATACAAGCTCACCAATTCAACAAAAAAAAAAAAAAAATGGAGTACATTGGCACAACCATGATGAACTTCCTATGTAGAATTAAGGAACATAAATGATCAGCAAACAAAGTCTAAGAAACACTACTCTATCAATATTCGCTAACAAATCTATCATGAAAGTAATTTAAGCCAATGCTAAGATTATTAGACCTATGGATGATAAGATGATCCTGAAGCAATTGGAAATCTTGGGAATTTACAAGGCAAATTGATGCCAGAGCTGTGTTAACCAGTGAAATGCAGCCACCACTTGCAAATCATTATATGAAATATAGTTTGCTTTATTTATTTTATTTAATATTATTTTTGTAATTATACTTTTGAATACTACATTTCATTTCTATAATGTTTTAAAGTTTAGTATTTTCTATTGTGTTTTATGTTCTGCAACAGAAGAATCATTAACTAGATCAAAACATTATTAAAATCATTAAAAATTTTAATTGCAAGAGTAACTTAAGGTGATGTTTGATTTATAAAAATATTCTTAATATTTAATTTCAAATTTTATTTAGAGTTTTACTGCTTCAACTAATTAATAAATTAAATAGTAATAATTTTTTAAAAATTACCTGATACGATCTGTAATGCCTTTTTTTCCATTCTACTAAGACCACTTGAGCAACTAGAACAGATGCTATTAGAATTAATATCATCATTGCATGCATATTTTCATGTCCTTTATGTTTCTCATGTAATTGTTTATGGACTATCCTGAAAGATTTTGAAATTTGATTTATAATTTTAACTCTTACACAAAGCTTACTTTTTGAAACAAGTAATATAATACAGGACTTCTTAAACTATGAACTGCAACCACATATAGGTCACATAACAAAATTTGGAGGTCATGAATACTTTGGCAAATATTCACAAAGGATGTTACTTCAACCCAAAATGTTCCTCTGTCATATTCTACAATACTGGTTAGCAAAAATAATTATGAAACCATTTTGATTTGAAATTAAAAATCATTTTATGGATACATATCAGAAATAAAGCATTCTTACATCCTTTCTCACTATGATCTACTAATATTTTTCAATTAAGTCTACTCTTCCATTGAGCTTCATTATATTACCATTTACTTTTTGAAACTTTGCATTGCACATGCCATCATGCAAGATAATACCAGCAAAATTTTATGTTCTTACAGAAAACATAATAGTTTAATTACATCAATTTATCTAATTATCAACATCGAAAAATCAAAAATTCTCATATTTAGAAATAATGTGAAATTATCCAAACAAGAAAAAAGTATTTATTTAAACAATAAACCGATAGAAGTAGTGAATCAAATAAAATATTTGGGAATATATTTTAATTGGAATGGCCAATTNTAAGTAAATATGAGATAATCTGATAAGTATATTAAAAATTAATTGCATTTGTTTTTATATTTACTAAAATTTTTAGTATTAAAATAACTTTTCTATACACACAAATAGTCTATTGATTTGTCTGATAATGGATCCTTTGTTTTGACACAAAATTCCAAAAATGGAGAAGTTCCTTTCATTTTGTGTTTGATGCTGGTTTTATGAAAAATAGAATTTTTGAGCATTTTCAAATTCATTATTATTTTATCTTAGGCTTCATAAATATTTATTTCCTGAGATAATGAACAGAAATCACTCAGTTGTTTTGATTGGTGCCAAACTTTGTACCCAAGGTTACTTAAACATTCTTGGACAAAAGATTGACACAAATGAAAAAAGTTTAAGAAGCCCTAACATAATATCATTTGTTAAATTTGATATATGATACACACCTTTTTATAGTAGATTACACATATATATATGATGTAATGTGTGTGTGATATACATATAAAGAATTTTTCTATCATAAACATCAAAAAATTAGTCTTTTTTTTTTAATTATTTATTCAAAGAATGATGATGATAGTTTAAAACGGAAGAAAACATTTGTTTTTAATTTATTAATTTATTTGCTGGTTTATTGGTGTTTATATGTAGTTATTATTTATTTACTCAAAATTCCAAACAACTTATTATTTGTAAAATTAATTTTTTTCAAATTATTTATTAACAAATTATTGTTAAATAATTATATAAATGAAAATTTTTCAATGTTTGCATAATTTTTGGCAAAATAAAACAAATTTATTAATTATAATTGATATATAGTAAAAATTTTAATAAAAAATTCTATCAGGAAACTATTTTGTATAAAATTTGTTATAGAATTTTTTTCATTTATATTAAGAAAATTTGATATATTATAAATAATTAAAAAATGTACTAGTGGTAATAAGAAGAATCAACTTTATAAATATACATACCTCCATTTTTCTTCATCTGACAACTTTGAAAAATCAACTGTCTGAAATTACAAATTTATTGTTATTATTGCAGAAATATAAAATCAATTATATTTATAAAATTTAAAAACTTAAATATTCATATTTAATCGGAATTACATCTATTAATATAATTCAAATTATTTAAACTATGAACAACATGAAATTGTAAATAAATATTTTATTTTATTAGTCATCAACTTAAAATAAAATTTTATATTGAATGAAATTTGAAATTTAACTACATACTATATATATATACATACTGCATATATATATAGTAAAATCTAGATGAAGTGGACACTAGGTTTAGTGGAGATCTATAAAGGTAAGCACAACTTAGACAAATGGATGGATAGATGAGGACAGCAGAGTGAGCAGAGAAAAAAAAATGGCTACATTTTAAGTTATGAACATGCAGCACTATTCAGGCAAACAGAGAGGATGAGTTGCATCAAAGAAAATACATCTTTCATTCTTGAGTGTTGCCACCTCAAGAATGAAAGATGTACTTCCACTTCATTTCCATCTCAAACCAAAAAGGTCACTAACCTAGGTGTGTAGTTAATAAAACTTCCTGGCACTTATTAACCAAAATTGCCCCCTTTTTTGAGGGAAACACTGTCATTTGTAAATATTTCCTTTAACATGGCAGATAAGACTAATTTCTCTGATGCAAAACTATGAAGAATTATATAATTTATAGCATCCTCTTCTAATAATAGGCAACTTAACACTCATACCAAGAAAAAAATGCCTAAGCTGAATATATTCACTCTTTTGCACTAAATACTTCTTGATTGACAACTGCAATGTGACCAAATACACACATACTAATGCCATCCCATTAATTTCAGCCATCCTATCTCTTCACCCAAGTGTGCACTTGCCTTAATACTTAGCAGACAAAATGTCTAGTAACCAGCATAGTGATATGTCTATTAGATTATTTAAACTTTGATTAAGTGAACACTGTTTTCTGCAAACAAAAGATAAAGATTTTCTAAAATAATTTTTAATAATAATGTTGTCATTATTTTTAAAAAATAATGACAACATTAAAAATACCATGTTAAATCATTAATACCATTTTCATGTTAAACATAAATACCATTTAAAAAATACCATGTTTAAAATATTCAGAGGAAAGATATAATTGTTGTGATGTCCATTTAACAGAGGTTCTAGAATAGTAAGGAGAGGAACCATTTTCTAGATTCTATAAAATGACTTATAGAATTTTCATGTCCTTAAACTTGTCACATGAAGTTTTTACAGTTCCATTTTTTTGATGGTATTCTGATAATTTATGAATGACTGATGCGAAAAGTAACATTAGCATTTCTGCCTTGTAGAAACAGAAGAGAGGTATTAAGAAACACATTTGATTTGTTTTAAATTAAACAAATTAAATGAGTTTCATTTACACTTGAAGTCATCCAAGGTTTTTTAATTATGTTGTCATTCTTATTATATTATTTCATTTTTTCATTAAATTTCTACTTCATACAACACATTTCTTTTTCGGAAGCATTTATAGTATCATTGTCCCATATATTTTCTTCTTCAACAAATGTTCCTATATCCATCTCCATTTCTAAGTCACTCTAAATATAAACATGACACACAAAATGAAATGTAATTATTTAAATTCTACTAAATGTTAACTCAAAAAAGCAACTGTGACTATTACACACACATTAGCAAACTGGGCAAAGCCATGTTTTCAAGGGGTGTTTGAAAACATGACCAATGTACTAACACAAAAAGAGGAAAGGGACATTGTGCTAGCACTGCAGAGAAGTTAAGACATTACAATAAGCCTAGAATCGATAAGGCTAATTAAACAAATTGAAGTTCACTTTCTTAATTGCCTAAAGCTCTGTAGGCTGATTACAAAATGCCTAAGAAATGTAAGGTTGAATAGCAAATAGATGATGATTTTTCAATTTGTCAGTTTCAGTTTAAAATGATGGCACTCTTGGGATCGGGAGCATATGTTTTAAATTAAATAAATTAAAAATTGCAGCCTGGCATTGTGATGATATTACAATAAATAATTGCTCATTGCAACTTGCAATTGATCCATCATGTTTATTCATATGTAATAATAAAAATACATATATACACGGTCTTGCATTTTTATTAGTCATGTTTTTCCGTTTGTGGGGGTTGAAAAAACTGTTCAGTGTCGATTGCTTTTCTGTCTTCTTCATGATTTTTCAGAAGTAATTATTAGCATTGTAATTGTAGAGATCCCTAGGCCTATTAACCTCAACCTGGTTTGGATGCCATTTTAAGACTGTTGTTCTGACATCCTCCCACTTCTTCAAAAGTTCTTTAATAGCAAATATTGGCATAAATCCACATTTTCAGAAGAAAACATAAAAGAATTGTTTCTGTCAGAAATATAAAAGGCTGGATTACAAGGGAGAGTTTCAAAGTTCGGGGAAATACTATCCCATCAGTATATACTGGGTAGAACGTCGATGTTGATGCCTCCCATGCTCCGAAAAGTTTCGAATTGTTGCCTGAAGACAAAGGAAGACCAATCGGTATTCGCTATTTTATGTCGCTTCTTCTTGTGTTTGTTCAGTGAAGTGTTCGTTATCCGAACATGTGCTCGTTGTCCGATCATAAAAAACTTTCGCGAAAGTGTTCGTTAACCAATCACCCACTGTATTTTTTTATGAACTTTTGGATTAACAATTTTTTTGTAGACATCAATATATGAAAACTATAGATTTGGAATATATTAAAATAAACAAGGTAAAACCCAATAATTTTAATTTTTAATGTTTTTCTCCCTCCAAATAAAAAGTTATTTCTCATCATCATATTTCTCATAGTGAAAATAAATCTGCATTGTAACAAAATCACAGACCAAAGAACATAATACATTATTTTTCTTGATACAATGCACATTATTTAGAACTTGCTTGTAAACTTCTTTCAGATTAAAAAATATAATTTTTCACTTCTACCAGAATTTTAAAAATTTGCATTAAAAATAAAATTGCATACAGTATGTCAGCACATAAATTCATAATGTTCAATAGATGAGGTAGTGAGGTGAGTGTCTCAAGAGTCAAACAGTCAAATAAACAGTCAAAAATTTCAAAAAGAAAAAAATAAAATAAAAATAGTATGTCAAATACATCAAAGTTCCATAATGTAAAATAGTTTATACAAGACTGCAGGCATTAAAAATTACTCTCTATTTTCAAACATTCTAGAAGCAGGTGAAACTGAATTTGATACAGTACTGCACATGGGTGTACAGCCTAGTGTTGTGGAGTCAGTCGCCAAAGTCAGATGTTTTAGGGCAGAGTCAGAGTCAAAAAATTTTTATCAACTCTGACCTTGAATTTTACCATTGGTAAAATGCAAAGTACAAAAAATACTTTTCAATTAGTATCTAAAGAAATTTCTTAGAAAATAGACACTTCAATAAATTTAGATATCAAAAAGATAGTCATCTATAAAAGCCATTTAACACCAAAATGTTGTGTGTATCACACATGACATGCTCTATACTTTCAGAAAATAACTTTTATTAATTTAAATGAATATATTTACATTACCTAGAGAGCTGTACTCTCTATATAACAAATGCTAGGCTCAGTACAATTTTGCTATTACCCAATCAAAAATAACAAAACATTACACAATAACTGATTGACTTTGCATTTGTAAAAATATCTTAACCTTTATATATTATATTTTTTGATTATATCATATGTTACACAAAAAAGTTGAAATTAAGTAGCTTACGAGTCATTCATAAAGCAAATGACTTTTTCTATGTGTGATTGTATTAATTGACTGGTTTTAAATATTGGCAATATAAATCAAGAGCAATATGCCAATAATTTTCTTAGATGCTCCTTGTATTCAAGTTATCCTGTTTTCTCTATGGTTTCTTAGGATAGCTTTTTGTATCTTTCTGCTGGCATCGCCGAAGATGTCCTTAAATCTCCAAAGCATTTCTTCATCAGAAGGAGTCATTTTCTTCAACTCAGGGGCTTTTATTTTTACAATGATCATTCATGGCAATGTTTTTCTTCTTCAGAGCAGAAACAGAATCTCCTTCTGATGAAGAAATGCTTTGGAGATTTAAGGACATCTTCAGTGATGCCAGCAGAAAGATACAAAGAGCTATCCTAAGAAAACGTAGAGAAAACAGAATAACTCAAATACAGGAAACATCTAAAAAAAGATCAAAGGCCAGCAAGACCAGGAGAAGACAACTGAAATTAAAAAGATACCAATCAGGGAATGTACAATCTTGGATGTCTTTTAAGGAAAACTGGCCCATATTCAGGCATTAGTGATGTGAAGAAAACTCAGAAAACTTCACAAGTTAGTCACAGTTAGCCAAAGTAAACCCGATCAACTATCAGTGTTTAGGAATCAAATCTTCTTAGCCACTAGTGCAGCATAAGTATAGGCTGAAGAATGACACACAGATGGATTCTACATGAAAAATTTTTACAAGAGTCTGAAACACTATTGCTGGCTGGCTTCCAATGTGTGAGAAAAACAGAGAATGTCTTTGAAATTGATTCTTAAAAGTTTCATCATGTTACTAAATTATGCAAAGTGACAACAAAAAGTTTATGGTACCACTTCCAAATGTCAAGCTTATCTTTACCAAAGAGAAACTCCCAATAAAAAATTTTGACTTTCATTTCAGGTGCCATAATTTTTACTTGGTGCTACATTTCAGATGTTTTTCTTTAGATATCCATTGTTTTTTGATTAATTTGACTAATTAATTTTCTCACTGCCTTTTTATTGATTGCAATTTATTTATGACTATTTATTATTGCTTCTAAAACAATGTTATCTTAAATCAATCCAATAGAAAAACAATGAAAAAAATAAATAAAGATTAGAATCTAACTGCAACAAACTAAAAGAGGAATAGAAAACTGCAAAATGTAATTAATAGGATTGTTCCAGCTTATTATTCATTGGCTTAAGTTCTCAGGTCATGATTGTATGTATTGATTAACATTTTTTCCAAAATTTGTATTTTAAAATTTTATTATATACTTGAGTTTACTCAACCATTGGTAGGTTATTAATATGGAAAAAACTATTCCCATAGTAGCTGGGAGAAACTATTTTACAAACCAATTTATTATGTCATTCATCAAATTATTATTTTTTGCATTTTATTGTATTTAATTTTTTCTTTAAAATGATTAAATTTAAATAAATATTTGATTATTAATTAACTACTAAAAGAGGAATTATTTTGGCTGATTAAGCTGTATGTTTCTTTACATACTCAAAAGTTTTTCCAAGGTAAATTTGTTATATCTGTTTTTTGATTCTCACCATAAATTTTAATACAACTTTTTAGAAAGAAATTTTAGATAAAGATACTCAGATATCCAGTGGTATCTTTGTTATAAAAGGAATCATAATGTGACATTTTAAAAAAAAAAAAAAGGTCAGAGAGTTGGAGTTGCTCATTTCAAATTTGCTGGATTTCAGTCTATTTGTCTACTGACTCCATTCCACTGGCACAACTAATGTAAGAAAAAAAACTTGAAAGCAGTTAAAAGGATTCAGTATATTTATTCTGATTAAGCACTCTTCAAGACTTTCAATTCCATCTCCAGATCAACAACATTTATATTTATACCAATGGAAAGGTCTGTTCGTTTTAAGAGAGTTGTATAACCTATTTTTCAAAATAGCTACAGGTGTGATGAATAATATATTGAAATATCATATGTGAAAAGATGGCTGAATGATCAAGTCAGCCAAAGCACGTGCCTGTTACTTTGGATATAGGAAGTTCCACTGTTCGGCCCAAGCAGTCTGTGTGAACCTCAATGTTATTTATTAACATGCTTTAATTTAAAGATTGAATGTCACATAAGTCCTGATGAAAAGTGACTACACTAAACTTTACTTCAACTATAATGAGTTTATTATATTAGTTACAAAATACAATTATTAAAGTGTTTATGATTCTTTCATCTACAATACATACTATTTTTCTTGAATTTTAATCATTTTATAATTTTCATAAAGTTTCTTCTTATAACTTCTCCGTGAATAAATGGAAATTCAATAATATATTTTAAGACAATTTCTAAATTCATCTTTCAATACATAAATTTGGAATTATATTCCCTTTCTGGCCTAACAGCAACTCAATTTTTCTTTGTATTGTTTTATTATTATATTGAAATGTAGAATGACTTCTTTCAAAGTTATGAACATCAGAATTTTTATTTACAGTTAAATTTAGTTATTCACCTTTTTATTATCCTTTTTTGAAGGTTATTTTGTTAACATTTGACAATGCTTTCCACATTTTTTACCTAATTTACATGATTTTGTTGGTGTATTAGAATTGCATTCCCCAAAACTATCAAATTTATGTTAAATGACTTTAAAAAATAAATAAGTATTCATAATTTTTTAATTATGAATATTTACTTATTTATATATCAAATAAATAAAACAAATATTGTTATTTTTTATGAATTTGTAAAACTATGTAAATTAGAATGTCATCACTGGGTATTAAAAAAAATCACTGTAAAGCTGATAAAACATGTTTTTAGCTAAGCTGTCCAGCTATGAATGAGATCTGAAAATTATAGTACTATAAGTCTAGCATGCTGATTAAGAAATTTTCTTCTGCTAGGCTTTTCTTCTCCTAATCATAATAGTACTATCTGTATTTTGTTGAAATATATATATATTTTTGTAAATTTAACAGTTCTAACTTTTGTCCATTACTAAGAAAAAAAATCCATTATTTCAAAGTTAGCTAGACTTAACAATTTAATAATTCTAGTGTAAAGTGGTTTTTCATCAGTTAATGAATGACCTCACACAAACTTTAAGGAAAATAAGTCCCAGTGGATTGGGCTGAATCTTTAATATTTTGTAGTTCTAGTGGTCCTGATCAAATGTCTCCATAGGCATATATTTGAGTTACTAAGTATCCAAGATGCAAAAACAACATAATTCATAAATGTCAAAACTTAGATCCTATTTTAGTTTTCAGTCTATATTGAAACTGACATGTCTAACTTGTTCATTTTTCAGAATAAGTTTTTTAAATTATTACTAAATGGATATATGCTCATTTAGGATTTTTATTTACAAAAGGAGGGAAAAAAGTATTATTATTCAAGGATTAATTGAAGAACTTCATGCAACAAGTCCAAGTATATTTTATAAAATATTTCAGGCAAGAAAAGAAACATTTTACACTTAGAATAAAGTTTGAATAACTCATTTAATAGATTCTGTTTCAAAGATGTATAGGTAAGAAAATATTTTGGTTTGTTTTAAACTTTAGATTTTTAACTTTTTATTGTTGTTTACAGAATAAATAAATTTTGTAAACAATAATAAAAACTTTACATGACTTATTTATCAGAATTTACATTAGCTACTTTAAAATGCATTGTGTACAGTGTTTTTTTTATTCACTTTCACTTTACATTTATAATCTTCAGATTTTTATAAAATTGAAAATTATGGGATATTGCCCCACTTGTCAGAGCACCAAAGTTTTCTGCTATACAACTTCAAAGATAAATATAGCAGTTATTATTATTAGTTTTTTAACAACAGTAGCAAACTCTCTATGTATTATTATTGAATGTTGCACCAAGTGCTGTGTTATGGTCAAAAGATATAAAAGCTGTAAAAAAAGCTAATTTAAAAAATTCAGTCACTCGAATGCTTGTTGCACCAGCCTTCAATTTTTGTAGATGAAACTTTCCTTTCAGTTACCGGATCCTTGTTAAATCCATCCAATTAAAATATATAATTGAATATTTTGAAATTAACAAATATTAATAGGTCAATTTTATTATCTGAACATTTAATTATCAAAGATTTCAATGCAGAAATCTACTATGATAAAATGTTTAATATTCAATTACAGAGATAAATATTTGAATCTAGTGTGAAACAGACATCAGCATTAAAAAATACATAATAAAATAAACAAACAAAATTTCATTCAATAAATTCAAATAATTTTGGCTGTATCACTTTATCACTCTCATAAATTCAGTGATGCATCTCATCTGAAATAAATAAGATCATGATGATTTAATGTAAATAATTTTGTTAGAAAATATTTTTTTACACAATCATACTTGGAAATCAAGTGACACTTTTATATAACACACTACTTCCAAGTAAATGAAATTTTGTAATTTATTGCATCAATTTTTATTAGAATATTTAAAACATTAAAAAATCTTCATTTCTGATTTCAACTCTTTAATAAATTAAATGAGAAAAGTATTGTTTGTTTCTTTATTACGAATAAATTAATATCTTCCAATTTACACTAAATACCACGTGACTCGCTATTTCTTCTTACTTTCTTTCAAGTAGAAAAAGAATTGTTTTTCTGTGTTTGTTACAGTTTTTTGTATGTTAAGACTATTCAATTAAACGAAACACGTAATCTGTTCTAAAAAGCCTTATAAACGTTATTTACCTCGTTAATTTGTAATTCTTCATCTCTCATGTGCTTCTCGTGATGCTCCCAATCCATCTTCCAAATATCGTTACAAAAAGAAAAAAAAAAAAGAATTAATACAGTTACTGCCATCTACGCGATTTGATTATTTTTTTAGAAATAATTTATTTCTAGAATCTTAAGGATATAAAAAAAATCATATTTAATGTAATATTATTTATTAAAATATAACAATATTCCCTTTTTAAATATAAATAACTATTTAAACAAAATGCTAAAACGATTTTTTTTAAATAAAGTTCAGTAAAATACTAATATTTTCAATGAAGAATAGTCTGAATTATTAAAAATTATTTTGAAAATATTTGAAAAATAAAATATATATTCAATTATAATTAATCGAGAACGATAAATCAACATATTAAAACTATAATGCTCCGATCAGTTTTTACTCATTACCATTACGTAGATCAGCGTGATGTGTGACGGGAAAGACTATCCCACAGGGGTGATCCAACCCGTGTTATTCATGATTCATGATAATTTCATGGTCATGTCAACTAAGACGCTTACGTCTCATTCTATAGAGAGTGTTTCGACTCCAGCTGGGATCTACAAACTTTCGCGAGTGATATTTGTCTCGTCCTTTACCATCCGATCGCATCATCGTAGACCTGGCCGAATCCATAATGGTGATTTTAAAAATACTTCATTGCACACAAGTTCGAAAGTTCTACATGTTGTAAGAATGGTAGTAGTCGAGTAGCTAAAAATCTGTAAATGCTGGAACTTCTTGATGTGGATTCGATTCTAGGCAACTTCAGTTTTTTCTTTTTTTAAAAAAAAATATGTAACAGTTATTTTATTATTATTATTATTCCTCACGTTTATAGCTTACTAGCAGACCCCGCCACGCGTTGTTGTGGCTCAAAATGTATCTATTATAAATTTATAACACTTCCCCCGTGGGTGGGAAATTTTTCGAAAAATTTCTTCTTAGTGTATATTCTGTTGACGTACCCTATTAAAACGCAATCAAAAACGCAAAAACCCGCATCTAAAATAGTATAAATAGAAGCAGAGTTCTTTACCTTAAGCCTTAATCCTAACCATCTCCCTTCAGTGGGGTTGAATTTCGACATGTATATTATACTAGCAGACCCCGCCACGCGTTGTTGTGGCTCAAAATGTATCTATTATAAATTTATACTTCCCCGTGGGGGAAAATTTTTCGAAAAATTTCTTCTTAGTGTACATTCTGTTGATGTACCCTATTAAAACGCAATCAAAAACGCAAAAAACCGCATCTAAAATAGTATAAATAGAAGCAGAGTTCTTTACGGTAAGCCTTAATCCTAACCANGATAAGTATATTAAAAATTAATTGCATTTGTTTTTATATTTACTAAAATTTTTAGTATTAAAATAACTTTTCTATACACACAAATAGTCTATTGATTTGTCTGATAATGGATCCTTTGTTTTGACACAAAATTCCAAAAATGGAGAAGTTCCTTTCATTTTGTGTTTGATGCTGGTTTTATGAAAAATAGAATTTTTGAGCATTTTCAAATTCATTATTATTTTATCTTAGGCTTCATAAATATTTATTTCCTGAGATAATGAACAGAAATCACTCAGTTGTTTTGATTGGTGCCAAACTTTGTACCCAAGGTTACTTAAACATTCTTGGACAAAAGATTGACACAAATGAAAAAAGTTTAAGAAGCCCTAACATAATATCATTTGTTAAATTTGATATATGATACACACCTTTTTATAGTAGATTACACATATATATATGATGTAATGTGTGTGTGATATACATATAAAGAATTTTTCTATCATAAACATCAAAAAATTAGTCTTTTTTTTTTAATTATTTATTCAAAGAATGATGATGATAGTTTAAAAAGGCAGTATAGGAAGTTGATCATCGATATCTAGTTCTGTTGAGTAGCTTGTTCAGCAATTGGGGCAAAAATGAATTCAAAATTTTATTCGTAAACCAAATTGTTCTATAAGAAAGGTGTTTGACACCCAAGATTTGACTGTCTAAACTTTTTTCTTAAATACAAAATGCCATACTGATAGGTAAATTTTTACTTTATCAAAAGCTATTTTCAAAATGATTAGAAAACAAATATTTCTCTGAAAGAATATTTTTTGTTAACACCATATACAAAATTCCTGTAGGTGTTATTCTGTTGAATTATAGTTCCAGTGTATAGTACATGTGAGTTTTTGCTTTTTGAAAATTCCTGTAATTGTTATCTACAATTAATATATAACCTGTAGTTTAAATAAAATGTAAACATAATTAAAATTAATCTGTAATATTTATAATGTCATTAATTACAAATAGAACCTTTCCTTAAAAATTTTTTTATATAAAATACTTTTTACAGATTTAATTGACTTATTTTCAACTGTAATATTTTACCAGCTAACTTATTTGTCAAAATTAACTCAAAAATAAAAGCCTCAGTGGCTCCCCTTTGGAGTAATTCTTACACTGTATGATTTTAATTTAATTCTCTAACAGTAGATGGTGTAACTTAACAATTTTCATGTTTAACTAACTAATTTTAAAAATTTTAATTTCTAAAAGGCAATAACTGGTACAGTGTCAATTACTGGTGTAGTTACCCTACATATCCGGAGACTTTTTAAGAAAACTAAGGAGTAAATATTCAAAATTGAGTTTAAAAAACCAGAATTGATGTAAAAAACTAAAAATCCAATATACTGTACTCTAATAAGTGTAAAAAACAATTTTAAATCAAAAGAAATTCTAGTCACAGTCTGAGGCAGATAAAAATGGTAATGGTGTTCAGTATTGCATAAATAACACATACATACCACAAATATTCAAACTGCTCTAGCAAAAAACTAATCATTTTCAAGATTTGTGTCCATGTAGAATTTTGATAGTTTGTCAAGAACTATAACATACTAATTTTCAGCCAATTTAACTAATTATGTATTTTGTATTAAAGAGCTGATGCATAAGGATTATGCAGGACACTTTAATACAAAATAGTGGCTTAACTGCCTACTTTTAGTCCAAATTACTTAATTATAATTAATTAGCCATATTATGGTTCAATTAAAAATTCATTAGAATTGTTTCACTGCTGTTTGGAGAAATTTGAGTTAGAGATATTTTAATCAATTTTAATACAACTTTATAATATATCTTGATGTGGCCTAAATTTAGCTAATTTTTCCAGACTTATCACATCTTGTAAGTCAAGTGATGAAAATGGAGTCAGAGATCAGATCCAAAAAATATATTGATTCACTTTTATTAACTTTATAATCATTTTTGCTAATCTTATAATGCTTGGTAATGTTGAATGATTTAAGATGATTTGTAACCTGAAAACAATTTTAGGAATAGCTGAAAATATAAGTTTTGTTAAATATTCTACTGGATTATTATATTTTATTAATGCAATTGTAAATTTTACTATAATTTATTACTCAAATTATGAAAACTATATTTAAAATTTAGTGATAAATATTTTTGAAATAAAGTAATATAGATAGATATTACTAAATATTTTTTATTAAAGCTTCCCTTAGAAAATCCAAAATCTGTTAAATAAAATACTGATTCTAAGTTTTTCTAATGTTCTCATACATAACACATGTAGAAAAAGTAGAATTAAAATAGCAAATAATTAAAAGTAATTTCTTAGTATTTTGAAACTGACATATTTTTACTTAAGACAAATCAATTATAATTTGTATATAATTGAGAATTTAATATAATATATTAGAAATCTTATATTTAAGTTTTATAAATTCTGATTAGATTTTTTTAAAATAAGAATAAAAATTCAAAAATGAAACAACCTTCAAAAGAATTTTTAAAAATACAGCATTATTACCACTATGATATGAGGTTATAAATAAACTCATTCATTACTATTTAATTTCATAACTCATCTTAAAACATAACTGTTTTTTTTTCATCAAACATTTAACTTTGAAAAACAATTCCATTAGTGTTGTAATCATTGTTTCAATGTAAATTGTTTTAACAGGATAAAGCACCCTTTAAAGTTTATACCTTAACTTTGACTAAATAAATAATTTAATCAAGCTTTGTCAAATGATTTTATTTAATTTTTTTATTTTTTAAATTTAATTAATCCAGCATCTAAAACTTGTACATTTTGAATATGATGACAAAAACATGCTAATGTAATAATTATAATATACCATTATTTTTCATCCTATAATCTTCTGTTCTAACATTCTACTATATATAATTTTCTATTGTAATTTTCAAAGTTTATTAGTGTATTGAAAATATATTATTTAATAAAAGTTATTACATTATTATTTATTAAAATTTGGAGGTAAACTACTTTATTACTATAGCAAAAACTTTTTTCAATACTTATTCATTTTACAACAGCTGGTATAGCTAATGTAGAACAACATTAACAATATGTGGTATGTTCCACATATTAACAATTCCACAGTTCCACATATTAACAATATGTGGAACCTCGAACCAGAAGAAAAACCAGCAAATACCGACCGAAAACCAAGGTGTAGTATATGAAATTCCGTGTACCTGCACAAACAAAAAACATTACATAGGAGAAACAAAAAGAAAAGTAAAAACTAGATTGAAAGAACACATAGCAGACCTAAAATACAATAGAATAAATTCTGCATTTTACAAACATTGTACTATAAACAACTGTAATATAGATAGAGATAACATAGAAATAATGCATAAAGAAAAATTAACATACAACAGGAAGTTTAAAGAAACCATAGAAATCATGAAAAGTAAAGACAGTATAAATAAAAACTTACGTCTTAAAATAAACGAAAACTGGCTTAATATATTATAAATAAAAATTTTTTTCTTCTGTGAAAAGCAATTTCTCCTAGAAATAATTCTTCCAAGACAGATTTTAGTAAAAATCAAACCACAAGGTGGCAAATGTCATATGTAGCAACACTAGAGATACCAGTGCAAAAGACAAAAAGGGGGTGGAAGGTGAAAAAGGGGGCGGAAACAGCTAAAAATTTTTCAGTTGTATTGTATCAAAATCTACCTAAAAGGGAAGATTCTGGAAGATTTTAACCTTTTAATTTGTAATATATACTAGTTTATTTACAA